CACCCACACACACACACACACACACAACACACCGCACACAGTATCCTACATACCAAGCATCCCAAAAGGAAACCACAAAATGTAGGCATCAAAAAGACTTTTGTCATGGGGTGTCCATTTCCTTGTGTGTGGTGGCCCAGGTAACTCATTCTGGCCATATTGACGCTGTAGGTCTTCTTTGAGTTGCCGATTTACTTGATTGACCAAACACGGCATCCGGAACCAGTCGATGACCCATCCAATGCCGCATAACCCGAACGTCATTAGGTAAGCAATACCAAAGACATAACGGCCGAGATAGAAATGGTGAGTGCCCAGGAAACCGACGATACACAATACATATGCATTACATAGTGATTTCTTATGGTAGCTATACTCAAGTTCTATGTTCGGGTGATATTGTTGATGGTGGTGGTCATGTTGCCGCTGCTCTTGCTGTTGTGGAACTTGTAGTCCTGCATGGTCACGATGTCCATGGGCATCTGATTCCTTCTCTATCGATTGGTGAAACATCCTTCCATGTATTTCCCTCCGACCAGATAGATCAGAGGAAGCTTAAAGCCGTAAAGCGATAACCATTGAAGGCAGTTGTATTCTGATTTAACGCCTATAAATACACAGAATCACGTGAAATCACACCGGAGCATCCACTTAAATTGACAGATGTGACGTCATTCTACACCCTTATAAACCGAATAACAATATGGGCAAATTAATAATCACTATAGATAGAAACATTTATTAATGTAAACTGATTTAATGGATTGTATACTTGCGATAATACATGCATTAAAAAAGAAACAAACAAACAAAAAAACAATTATAGGCCTATACCCTTTTTTCATATGGTATCGCCTGAATAAAGCAACGATGTTGCACCATGAAGTTATCAGTGAGGTTATACAGTGTGTAAACAAGGAAACTGTATACTGTACATTATTGTGTCACTTGACTGAGTATAAGTGAATATAAATCTGTACAGTACATGAACGTTTGTAGTGTTTCTTTTTCTATTTTAACATCCATATTAGGCCCCATAAAAAAAATTAGTTTATCACCCCCCCTCCCTCATCACGTTTTGGTAAATACTGATATATTTTTTTTTTCAATCAACATATATTTTTTATTTCTAATGGTCGCTTTTCCATCTTTTTTTTCTTGAAAAGCTCAGGATTTTTTGCAAATATGTTTACTGGTACAACAAAAACATATTTTTAAATATAGATTTGATTCCATTCTTATGACTTTTTATATATGTGTCCTTAATTTGGGTAAAAAAAAGAAAAAAAAAAAAAAAAAAAAAGCCTCCCTCATCAGTTTTTGTTCTTTGTTAGGGTGATAAACTAATTTTTTTTATTAAGCCTTACGGCCAACTATTGGGACAGTCGCACACTATGTTTCTATTAGGTCCTCAAAGACCTTAGGTCTTTGTATATATACATATACTGTATATATATATATATATATATATATATATATATATATATATAAATCATCAAAGAAGGGTAAATACAGTGTTAGAATAAAGGACTTAATAAATACATAGTGTAGCATAGCTCTCAACGAATGTAGTCCTATAAATAAATGAATAAAGAAATTGTGTAATAAAATGCCTCTGGCGGGACTCGAACCTGCGACACAGCTAAGCAGGAGGGCCTATATTATTTTTTAAACACATAACTTACATAAAACATTAGTTGACTAACAATTATTTGTATTTCTGTACTATAATATTATAGTTTATCATTATTAATATTACATGGTGTTATTTTTCTTTTTTTACAGAAACAACGAAAATATTACAAATTCGACTTGGTTTGAGACAAGCTTCTCGTTAACGTTTGTTGTGATATATATTTTATTAATGCATAAATTGAATGGAGATTAATGGTGTATATATATATTATATATATTATATTATATTATGTATATTTATAATTATATATATATACTTTTTAAATTTTAGTAATTTATTCTTTTTCTGTACTTATTGAAACACCGTACCATTGTACCACACTGTATCAAAAGGTGCTTCCAATAAATTGATTGATTGAACTGATCATAGTAACTTGTGAAGACAGCAGTAAATTGTATTTACGCCATACAACTAACAATAGCAGGCACCCACAAATCGGTAGCGTGGCCGAGCGGTCTAAGGCGCTGGTTTAAGGCACCAGTCATTTCGATGGCTTGGGTTCGAATCCCACCGCTGCCAATAATTTTTTTCTTTAGTCTTATGTTTAAAGACCGTTAAAGTAAGTAATAAAAACACGAATACGTTTAAAATCATAAATAAATCAAAGTTATAGCACTAATTAATACATAGAAATGCCTACACCGTCCAGCCGCCATAATGACTTCAGACTAGTAGGCTGGTGAATAGAGTCTACGGATAGATCCTTTCACTTATCGTACGATCACACAGCAACAAAAAAAGTAAGCATGGCTTCGAAGAGAAGAATAGATACGATTTTACGACATGTTAATGCTGAAAAAGCTGTAAACTCAGAAGAATGCACCGAAAATACACAGAATATTGTAATGCATGCATGCGCTGCTTTCGCAGATAAACCTAGGATACCGAAAAGAAAGTAAGTAGTAGAAGAACTTGTACAAAGGGCTCCTCGTCCTCCTCTTCGTGCAAGGCCAGTTTATTTCAGTCTGGCCAATGGGAAAATAGCGGGACGTACACACCCACCCACCCGGTGTTTCCACAACAACCAGGGCTAGGCCTTAGGCCTACTTGTGTATTTGTTTGTCGTGCACAAAAGACGTGGCTCTTCTTTGCACAATCTGGGGCGGTGGGAGAGTAGGTGAGTGGGATGGGAATGCAGTGAGTGAGTGTTTGACGGTTAATTTGTAGGCCTAGGCTTAAATATGTTTATGTTTTGTTTTTTTTAATTTTTGTAAAAAAAACTTTAATTAGCCTAGTTGATGACTCACATTTAATTGAGGTACGCCTATATTTATTTAAGTTTATTCCAGTATGTATACATTGCAGCTCATCTCATAGCTGTGAATATGACAAAAAATTGAAAGAAAAAATGAAAAATCGGTCAAGGCAAACTTCATTTACATTAAAATGCGAAACTGGCCTAGAATTATTAAGCAGCTTTCAATTTGGACGACACGGCGTTCTACGACGGGCAGTGGAGCGTGAAACCGTACTGCGCATACAAATACATGGGGAAGTCATTCGTTGTGTGGATTTGACAACGGGCTTTAAGCGATTTGGCGTTGTGTTGACTACGTCAACGTGAGTTTTATAAATACACGCTCGATGTGGTGCCTGCATAATTGATCACGCGATATGAGGGAGCGCGTTGTCCTGTAAATCAAAACAGCTTTGATGTTGAAACGGGATGTGCATAGTACGATGTTCATTTCGAAAGCTCGCTAATAACCATATGATTATGGTATGGTATGATACGAAAAGTTTTTTCGAATGTTCTTTTTGCATTCCTCGTTACTAGCAGTGGCATATACCAGACTGTAAAGTAAGGCCTCCATGGGGATATATCTTCCGTGCAAAAATTAGGCTTAGAAATCCAGATTTTGCCAAACATTTGGCTTTGACCTATTAACTGTAATATATCCAATATAGTTTACATTACTTAAAATCCTGCACACCTATTCCCAGGGATTTACCAACTACAAATTTGAGCCAGTTTTTAGTGTATCATCCACCCAATTAAAAACTTTACAAAATGGCCATTGGGATATATATAGGGGTTTGAAGTTGAATGGGAGGGGGTGAAAAATGTGAAGTGGGAAGGCTTAAGTATAAAAGTAAGGGGTACAAGCTTGCAAAGTAAGGTGGTATGAGATCATGAAATTACTTTAGCATAATTTTATTTTTAGTGTGGGGAAGGAGGATGCAGCTTTTTTGGGAGGGTGTGCACCCTCCCCTGCTTATTTTAGTAATTGTAACTAAAATTGTGATAAATGGGTCTAAACGATTGGCAGGATATTAAAAACAACAACAATTTAAAAGCAATAAATTAAACTGTTTAGGTTGGTGTTCCATTGGATTATAAAAAAATAAAAAATAATATATAACAAACACAATAGTAGTGTGTGGCTTTAGTAACATGCATATACCTGTAATGTATTTGACCTGCATTTATTTTCAGGCAAGAACTGCTGAAATGGAATGGTTGGGGTTACAAAGATTCCATGTTTGAGTTGGATCAAAATGAACAAGTTCGTTTTGCTGGTAACAGGTATGTCTTTTTTAATAAAAATAAAGTTTAAATTTTTATTTGTTTAAGTAGGGATGACTTATGTGAGCCAAAATTGCATTAAATCTACTGCTACTCTGTGTGGATTCAATTAGGCTAAATAAAAAATGTTTTGATATAATTGTCAGAAAGCTGTATCACCTTATTAGTGGTAAAGTATGCTCAGGGAGCATGCTTCCATTGGCCACAACATTTGACGGCTCTTAAAATATAACGGGCTTATTCACAGGCAAGTAGCAAACATTTTATAACCTGGACTTTTGTTTAACTCTGCCACATGGCGGACATTTCGTAACCCGATAATAATTTCACATTATTATTTTATATATTAATATATTGCTTTGTCAGCTTTATCAAACACACCTTGGATTGGCTGTTTGCATTATGACCCAATTGTAAACACCTGTTTGATTGCACAGATCAACTCAAATTCTAATTCACTATCTTGAGTTTAAACCATTGTGAAATAGTTGCATTGTTTGATTAATGTGAGTGCTGGACATGACAAAGATCAGTAGTCTGCAGTTTAACAGTTAACTGTAGCAGACGTTCATTTGTTAGACCATGATCTGATTATTTTTTACTGGGATTTAATTTGCTGTGTTCATAGGCGTGGGCTGAGGAGTTTCGATGATGCAGACAAACCTCCCTCCCATGGCAGCAAATTAGTCCTAAGTACGTTAAAATACTAAAGATGATTAAGTTTTCATTGGAATAGGAATTTTGTTCCACATTCCGGGATTTAATTCCGCATTCTCATTTTTCGCCCCTTCCCCTTTAATTGAAAAGTTAGATAAAAACTTGAATCTCATTCATTGTGTAATGATTGCCAAGCTGGTTTTGTTATTGAAGGTATAAAATCTGTGGGAGTTTGCCTCATTTCAAGTCATGGATGTTAACTGTTCCGGGTGTGAGCCTAGACCACACCACACAACCGCAGGTGAGTCATATACCACTCTCTAAATTACTATTTAAGAAAATTTATTACCAGCATGTATGAGCTTAAAATCAGAAACACTTTAATGATGTTTTATAATTTAAGGTTGAACATTGTTCTTATAAAGCCTGTTTTCCATTAAGTGAATTGAAAACCTTGGTTTGCTTCCTGAGCTCTGATTGGTTGCGCATTTTTTTGCTTCACATAAAGTAGAAACAGTTCAAACTACTGATTTCGCTGAAGCAAAAACGCCGATAGAATATGAATGCACATGAACCAACGCTTTTGATGTGTGTGAATAAATTCACCTAGTGGAAAACAGACTTTTAATTAAGTCATAATACCTTTTTACTTTTATTTTCAATATAATTAACAAAAGTGATCACTGCTCTAGAACCAAATCTTCCAATCTTCATGAGGCTTGAGAAAATTCCTTATAATCAGGATTAGTATTAGGGTTGGATTTCTTAACTATTTTGTGTTGTCAAACCGCTTGTTTCTGCCCCAGATCATGTTATCCATTATATTATCGTGTTTTTCTCCAAAAGGCATCCATTCGAAATGAGGACTTACCAAGAATAACACGCAATGAAGACTTCATGACAGAACTTCACAAGTCTGGAATCTCCTTTTCACTTGACGGGCAGGACAGGCTGTTCAGGGCTCATGGTGAGTGTGTGCCTGCTACTGTATGTGACTACTGGATCCATCTAAATTATATGCACAATTGGTGATACTAGAGGGTAGTCAAGGCCCTGAGGGTCTTCCTCCTACCCAACTTTTTATCTGATAATAATTCTTCAAATTTTTACACAGCTTTTTTTTTTAATTCTACAGGTCATACTTTGCATGAGGTGTTTGTATTGAGGGAAGGCAGATTTGAAAGAATTCCTGATATTGTTATATGGCCAAGTAAGTAGCGTAATATGAAATTTGGTTTAATATGAAAGTTACATACATGAAACCACATTGACAGAGACAAAAGCAATTGATATTTAGCAACCATTGCATTCTGTAATGGTTGCCTCTAGGCACTTGCTTATGTTGTTGATCTTTAAGTAATCTCCACTGTCTCAACATCTTTTACTTTTGTTCCATACTTAATGTTCAGCAAGAGGTTAAAATGCGCATACAATATGTAATTGCTCTGTTTTTATCTGTATAGCATGTCATGACCAAGTTGTGAAGTTAGTGGATATGGCTGTATGTTATAATGTATGCATTATTCCATTTGGTGGTGAGTGTCTCCTATTCAATTATTGCAAATAGGCCTACCTCTCTTTTTGCTTTAATAAAAATCATTATAAACTCATGAATTGAAATTGTTGGATTGCATTTTGACAATGTGCTTGGTTAACTAATTGTATGAGTTTGATTTTCATTCAGGTGGTACTACTGTGACCAGTGCTCTCGAGTGCCCTGCTAATGAGCAAAGAATGATCGTTTCATTAGACATGTCACAAATGGTGAGACCATAACATATATTTTAATATGCAAATTAGGCAGTTGAAATGTTAAGTTTTGAGTTTAGCATAAACAATATCTCAAAAATATATTTTGCTTGATTTCAGCGTCGTATTTTATGGGTTGATGAGAAAAACCTGACTGCTCATGTCGAAGCTGGAATCACTGGTGTTGATCTTGATGAGGAGGTATGTGACATTATAAGCCAACCAGTCTAATTGGTTCTTACCAAGATAATGAACAAATGATGCAATAACAAACCAATCGAAATGCTTGTATTGCTGCTGTATCATATGCTCAATTTTTCTTTGTGTGTAGTTGGCTGCCTTTGGTGTGTGTACAGGTCATGAACCAGACTCAAATGAATTTAGCTCATTAGGAGGATGGGTGGCAACAAGAGCGTCTGGGATGAAGAAGAATCTGTATGGTAACATAGAAGATTTAGTAAGTTTGAATGATACAATTTTAATCTTTATATAATTTTTATCTTTGTCATTTATGTAAAAACAAATAGTAAACATAAATCAAGGGTCCCAAGTCGTGGCAAGTTGTGGAGTCTCCCGAAAATCGGGATGCCGTCTACTGCTCTCCCGCAGCTGAACAAGAAAATAACCCATCTCCTGCAATTAATTAATCTGCATGTTTTTACTATTGTATTACCCTTTTATTATTTATTTGCCAGAATGAATAAAATGAAATAATGAAATGATAATTTGTCTCACAGATATCATTGTCATTTAGTACAGTATCACTGTAGTAGCAAAACAAAATTACACATTTAGATGTCGAAACAGATCTCCACAAAATGACTTCTTCCAACTTGAGTCTCCTGAGCAAGTGATTTCAGTGATGTAAAATTGTTTTTACAATGATATATTTTTGATGTGTTTAGGTTGTGCATGTACGCTTTGTTACCCCAAAAGGAGTAATGGAGAAGAATTGTCAGGTACCAAGGATGTCCACCGGTCCTGATGTCCATCATGTTATTATGGGCTCTGAAGGTATTTAATTTTTTTTTTTGCTTAAAATTTGCCTATAATGTACATAAATTATCAACTCATCTAATTACTTAATTTAACTAATTTATAGGAACGCTAGGTGTAGTGACAGAAGTTACCCTTAAAGTCCGTCCACTTCCCCCGTGCCAAAAGTATGGATCTGTTGTGTTCCCAAGTTTCGAGCCAGGTGTCCACTTTGTACGAGAAGTTGCAAGACAGGTAAGAAATTGTAGTGCCCTCACATACTTTCTTACCAATTGTGTTTTTATTTACTGTGAGTAAAAAGAAATATTTTACTCTTATGAAATAGATTATTTATGTGAGGTTGCTAGCAATAGAAATTTGTGGAAAATGTTATTTTGATTCTCTGTTACGTTTTTATAAAATGAATGTTCATATACGTATAAGACTTGATCAGATTATTGAGATTCTACTTATTTTGGAATAAAGTGATATATATTTTTACATACCTGTATCAATTAACTTAATTCCAATCCAATCTGGTCATTTAGTGTATGTATTGCGTGTAGGAACTATACACATCAGTTAGAGCTCTAGAGATTATTGCATTGTTTTCTCTTCAGAGGTGTGCCCCAGCATCAATACGTCTGATGGATAATGAACAGTTCAAATTTGGTAAGTGTTTTTGTTTTCTTGTTTTCTTTCTTGATTTTTTTTACAAGTTTCTTGAAAAAGATTGTCAGTGACCAGGGATGTAGCTGAAAACTTTGGGTGGGTGGTGATAACAGTGGTAAATTCTAAGAGTGGATTTGAAGGATGGGCAAGGGGGTTAATTAAGGTGGGTGGAGGGCCATGAAATTTGCTTTAGACTGGGTGGAAAAAAAATTCAATGCTGGGTGGAAAAAACTTCAAGGCTGGGTGGTTTAGCCCACTATGACTAAATCCCCGATTGAATAAATTCCTACAAAACACTGTATGGGTGGCAGTGATTTATTTAACTTCACTTCAAATCATAGTACCCTCTTCAAATAGTAATTATAATCATCTTTCAGGCCATGCATTGAAGGCACCAAGTTCATCTATTTGGGCCTCATTGATGGATAGTATCAAGAAATTCTATGTAACACGGGTAGGTTTTGCTTTGACATTTATTTGCATTTTTTTAAAGAAAGTATAGAAAAATCCCAATTATAGGAAATACGTATTTAATGGTTCACTATGATTTTAAATGATTGATTGATTTCATGATTGGTTATTGATTGATTAATAAATTGATTAAATGAATAGCCAAAGCTCTTTTTTCAGTGATCATCAGTGAGATATCTTACAAAGTTGTACAGTAGTTCATAATAATGGTTTGTTTAATTTACAGATGAAAGGATTTGATCAAGATAAACTTGCATTTACAACATTACTTTTTGAAGGAACCAAAGAGGTAAATATTGTAGAACCTTTCATTTAAAACATTTTATTACATTATTCAGAGTATAGTTTGAGGATTCACAGTATACTTTCCTTAAATTTTCTAATTGTTTTTTTAATTTCGTAAAATTTCATACAATATAAGAGTATACTGGTATTTTGACGTTTGATATAATGATCAAAAAAATAGAAATGATTTAAAGTTGTTTGCTTTATTTAGGAAGTTGCGGCACAGGAGAAACGAGTATATGCCATTGCATCTCAATTTGGGTAAATATTTATATTTTATGTAAAATTTCATCTTGCATTACATCACTATTAGGTTCTATGTAAGAAATATGTGTAATTTTCTCATATGTGAGCATGATGAAATCATATCACAACTGTATACAGTATAAGCAAATCACTCATATTTGTAGGTTACAAAATAAGAACAAAACCTATTAATTTACATTTATATGAATGTGGAGCCATGTTTGATTGATTTGGTATGATTTCAGGGGCTTGGCTTCAGGGGAAGACAATGGGCAACGAGGCTACTTGATGACGTATGCCATTGCCTACATCAGGGTAAGTAATGTCATAAAAAAATTGTATTCTTGCAAATATCAGGTACTCGTTCATTGATTGGTACATTGTATTGACATTTTTATTTATTTGATTGACAGGATATAGGTCTTGATTATTATGTCATTGCCGAGTCTTTTGAAACGTCAGTCCCTTGGGATAGGTGAGATAGCTTTATTAATTAAATTAAGACATTTAATATTAAATTTTATATTTCTATCATTGTATTATACAGTTGATATCATAAGTAAATCTTTGCCAAGTCTCGGGGCTCATATGGGCTGCAGCTTATCCCCAGTTTCATGTAGCATGAAGTGGATGAGAGCGTGATACTCCCTCTGGGTGGGATGCTAATCCACCGCATGTCACTGCCAGTAATTTGCTGTTACCCACTGATACAGCTGAGTAGACTGAAGCTATGTAGTAGATAAAGTGCCTTGCTCAAGAACACAAGAGAAATGCACAGCAAAGGATTATTGGTCTTGACAGTTCATAAATGCCTCTCATTGATATATCAAAAACTGTATATTCTATATATATATCTAGGGTGCTTGATCTGTGTCGAAATGTTAAGGAACGACTTGCTAGGGAGTGTCAGGAACGAGGGGTACAGTACGCCCCCTTAGCGACGTGCCGTGTCACTCAGACCTACGATGCTGGTGCTTGTGTTTACTTCTATTTTGCATTCAGCTACCGTGGTCTTAGCAACCCAGTTAAAGTTTATGAAGAGATCGAGGTGAGATTGGCAATTGTGATTTACTCACCATTTGATAATGATAAAAATAATATTGAATTATGGGTAGCTGTGGCATTTGTATTACCACCTATGTATTTTTGATTGTGTGTTAATATTCTCAGCCCAAATAGGAGAAAAAATGTTAGTTTACTATGTTTAGTTAATTCAAATCATATTTTGCTTTTGCTCATCAATTGTTACTGATTCTTCTCCTTTTCAAGCAGTTCAGTACTTACCAAATAATGTTTATGATGAGTTGGTATTTGCTATTTTTCTTTAAAACAGAATGCAGCTCGCGATGAGGTTTTGGCCAATGGAGGCAGTCTATCTCATCATCATGGAAGTAAGCAATTAATGTGCATATCAGGAATCATGTACTTTAAATTAGAGAAATTTATAAAGTGTTTTTTTTTTTTGTGTAACTTTTGGCTGTATTTTTGTATTGTAATATTATTACAATTAATATAAATAATATCATTAATATTATTATACTAATAGTATTTGTATCAGTAGTCTTATTATTATTAATTTTTTTTTCTTTTGTTTTATCTTTCAGTTGGCAAAATTAGAAAGAAGTGGCTGAAGCAGACTGTGTCAGATACTGGTATTGGATTATTAAAAGCCATGAAAGAACACATTGATCCACAAAATATCTTTGGTAATAATAATCTCCTTTAATCTGTGGATTAGTTTAATAGATATATTAAACAAAAATAGAATTAATAAATTGATTTTTGAAACATAAAAATTTCAAAAGAATTGTCATATAGTACCGTATTCATGTAATTTTAAGGGAACGCATTTTTTATAAAATGTTCTTCAATTTAGGTAAAATAAATCTAGACAGAAAGTGACTGAACTGAATGGGTTAGGCATAAAGGGATTAGGTGTGAATATTGTTTATGCTAATCAGATCATGTCATGATTAGTTAAATAAATGGACTAGGGTACTAATAAATATTGAAACCCTGTATGCAGACATAATGAATGAGGTTATTTTTTGCAATTAATTGTTTGTTATGACCAGTAACTTTTGTTTATATACAAGCAGCTTTATAAATACTGTTATATCAACGATAATGATCTTTATACTGTATATATCTTTAGGGGTATTTAGTGCATAGGACACCTGTTGGGGAACTCCTGACCCTCAATGGAGAAGAGACCAATCACTTCATTGCAGGGTTGGAGGGCCTTTGGTGAGAAAAACCATGGTTCATCAAGGAGAAAAAAAATTATATGTATTTTCTACATGTTAGTGGACTGTAAAATCAATTAAATAAGCCTTTGAAACTTTAAATTGTCTGATTTTTCTGGGTATTCGCCCCCTGGACCACTTTCGAAAGATTTTGAGCAATGCCCTACCACGGTCACTTTGCTCTCGTTGGGGACATCGGGCCCCCCCCCCGTCGGGGACCTCATACCCCCTGTTGGGCCAATCCTGCCGCCACCCCTGCTTCATTGGGAACAATGCTTTGAAAAAACTTTTTTACACTGTCATTTTGGAGTATTTTAGGGGTGCCTATTCCTAAAATTTGATTGCCTTTGCATCAATGAGGCACTGAGGTGTTCAGGTATGTCATGTGTGGGGAGGATCCCCTCCCATCAGGTGTGTGGGACCTATAAGAAGGGGACCCTACCCTCAGATGATTCCTCTTTACTCATCAGGTGTGTGGTGAGCATATTGCTTTTGTTGTATACTATTCCTAATTTACTTTGAAAAAAAATATTTTAACAGTTTTGGTGAATGGCGATTGAGTTTAAAGGTGGATTAGTGTAATGTGTTTATCAGTTTGTTTCATCATTGAAATAAAGGCACAATGCCCACACACAACAAGAGAACAGTAAACAACATATAATTTATATAAATAATATTAATTTCCATCTGTAGTGCTTGTGATCATTATCAAGAGGTCCGACTCATGGTTTTGTTGGAATGTAATCCCATTTCAAAAAATACTGCCACGAATGGGCTAGTCTTAAATTGACGATTTTCAAGTTTTCAACGTTCCATTGCGTGCATACAAAATCAGGGCACTCAGACCCCTTGCAATTCTGTACTCTTAGTTATTGTCTAAATATTAAGAATCTCTTGATTATGTTTTTAGGCCTATTATTAATTTATTTGTTCAAATGATGATTGAGAGTATTAAATTATAAAAATTATGTATTATGATAAGTGTATTTATTATTGTTGTTGATATTATCTACCACTTCCATTTTGAAATCATTGTTGTAATATAATTGGATTATAATCAAATAATAAATAATAATGGACTGGTCCACTAAGCCTGCCACTTAGATAGTGTTGCTAAGTGACGGGGAGAACACGTAAACGTACGTAAAGACGTACGCTTGTGAGACAAGTGTGTATTCCTACACACTAGGGTGTGGTATCGTAATAAACAAAAACATAATTATAGTGAAATTATTGCTATTGTACTTCTGTTCATTTTCTTGTACATTGAATGTAATTAATTTCTACAGTCTTATGAATATGCCTATCTGTGGTGAACTGTAAAAATATACCTCAAAAATTTAGTTTAAAAAATGTAAATGCTCATTTAAAGGTATCAAATATGAGTACTGTATAAAGAAATCAAATCAAATTAAATTTTCAATGACATTTGCTACACATTATTCGTTTAATTCGTGTAATTTGTTTTCTAAATTTTTATTGAAAGCTAAACTTCTAGATAAATACACAAATTATGCAGTTTAAAGAATGTGGAATCGAATGTTTCATTTATTCAATGACAGTACAACTTTCAGTAAAGTACTTCAGAAATTTATTTATTTTTTTTTTCAAGTTGCTTAGCTCAATCTAAAGTGCAAAATCGGGAGAGTTGGACCTCATTCAACTGCATGCCTCGTCGAGCCCCTTGACCTAGTTCGTGTTACCATCGGAGAAAGGAAATGCGTAACTTGTAACGTAGACTACGCGTGCGAACTATACTACGGCGCCTGCCTACGCATTTCCGGCGCGCGCTTCTGGAGCGCGTATGTTTTTTGCGCAAAAACCCAATAAAATTTGGGCGCCCTGTGTTACTACTGAATGGCCTAGCTCGATTTCCTCACCTCCGCGTTCCAACGCCAACTCCATCCCCCTGCCCAAGGAAAAAAGGGGGAAAAGGAGAGATGAGTAGAGCATGCATGGTCTTCTCTTTCAAAACAGGCAAATTTTCGATGTAATTCCATGTGCCGGGTCGCGATTTTTTTTTTCGCGTACCGGTCTATGAATAGGCCTAGTTTAGATGTTGGTCAAGCATTTCTAAACAAAGTTAAACAGTACCACACTTTTGTCTGTAGAGTGCTGCCACTTTAAAGTAAAAACGGAGGGTCATAAACTACTGTATCTGTGAACATTTTCTTATATAATAATTAATAGAAACAAAATTCCAGTTCCATTAACTTACTTTTTCGAAAAGCAGGTAAATGAAATACAGACGAGTAAGCGGTTCCATACCCTTCCCGTCATGCTTGTGGAATAAAAACATGTCTGCGCCCATTGAGAGGTGGAGTTAATCTCAGTTTTGAGATTGAAATTGTTGTAAACATAGTTATGGAAGAGCATTTTGAACGGGATTTGGTGTCAGCATTAAAGGATGTTGTCGAACAAACTAACTGGCAGTTACTTGGAAGTGTTGATTTTCTAAAACAAAAGATATGTAACCGGTAAGTTGGTAGAGTAAAGTGCTAGGGCTAGCCTAGCCTTACCTCCTTTGTTGGCCTTACCGACCGGGCCTTAAGGCAAGAGTAGGGCCCTACTGCTAGTGCTAGACTAGGCCTAGGCTACTGCTGGCTTAGGATAGCCTTGCCTCTACTATTAAGCCAGCCGTCTTATCTGGTCGTTTGTCGCAAGGATCAAGCATATTGAGCCTTTCTAACAAAAAAAAAGAAAGAAAAAAGAAGAGCTAGTTAGGGCCTACTGTAGCCTAGCCCTGTCCCCCTGGCGAGACTTTCTAGGTAGTACTAGTAGGCCTACTTTTGTTATTTAATTAAACTGTTCTGTACAACATTATTGGAATCGAGAAAAAGAGTGAGTGAGTTACTAAGTAGGCTACGCCTATTTATACATGACTGAACGTCAGCTGCCAGGTGGAAAGAGTAAGCCTTTTTGAAATGGCAGTGGCTATTGTTATACCAGTCCTAAACCAATTGATAATTCTTATAAGATGTTACTGTATGGATTAGATATAGAACAATAACATCTAAAAAGAATTGAAGAATTGTGTAACAATACCCTCTGCCTTTTGATGGTCCTAGCCCTGCCCTTTTTGGATATTGTTCTAAGATCACACAAAAATGACAGCTGGAAAACATGCGCAAACATGTGTATTTGTGGGACAACTCATGCGCTTGTTAGACACGCGCATATTTTTGGCTTGTTCTGATTGGTCGGTTGTTAAGTTTGAATGACACTCTGGAAAGGTTAATTGTATTGTTAATTAGTAAGTTATCACAGTCATTGTGTTTTTAGATATAAAAAAAGTAGTTTGCCCAAAGGCAATCAGAACCTGCTTGTAGCTTATTACTGTAAACTGAGAATGCACTATGTTTGTCCTGTGACGAAAACCTTGTCTATGTCTATAATTGCCCTGATGCTAGAGTTGACTTAAACTAATAAATTACATTGTTTTCCTGTCTTAACACTGTCAGGTTCTCAACAGAGGATGGTGAAGATGTGATGGTTGTGTTCCATAAAGAAAAAAATAAGTTTTATGCAATGGATGCCACTTGCCCTCATGAAGGTTGGTGATTAAAACGTTCTAATTTCCTTCTTTAAATTTACACTGGTATGTAAATATACTTTCTTAGTAATCACATTTTAAATACACTTTAAGATGTCAGTGTCATGCTGCTGAACATCAATTATAATAATATAATATTACTGTAACTATAAATCCCTGCTGATTCAGTGATTGATTGATTGATTGATTGATTGATTGATTGAACGATTGATTGATTGATTAAATTTCTTATGATCTCAACAGGAGGTCCCCTTGATCTTGGTGACATTGAGGATGTAGATGGACACCCATGTATTGTGTGTCCATGGCATGATTTTGACTTTAGACTTGACAATGGAAAATCTACTTCAGGTTTGCAGGTAAATGAAATATGTATACACACACAGTGTTGATAATGCTTATTGGTCTTGCTTTCATCGTATAACACATTGAGAGTGTGGTTAAGATAGTTGACTTTGAAATTGCAGAAGGAAGGGGCGTGATGACATGGGGAGGAAATTAGCTGGGGGAAATGAGATTATTTCAGTTTAATTTTTAAATTGAGTAACTAATTTATTACTAGGTTTCTGAAGCCCCTATCATTTTTCTGGCGGTATCTGCACTCTTCGCCTTCCCTCCCCCTCTTAAAATATGCCACTGCCTTTCATACCCTTAGTCCTTGGCAAGGTGAATGTGGGTGGAAATGCTTTCATTTCAAATTCAAACAATTACATTGTTTTTTTTTCATCTTGTAATTATTGTTACTGTATTTATTTTGTTTCAAGCAACCAACATATGATGTTCAGGTCACAGATGGCAATGTATATGTTTATGAAACATCTACAATTATTGGATTGGAAGTCCAAAAGGAAAAGATAGGTTGTTATTTTTATTATTATTTATAATTATATTAATGTTTGTCAGCCCTTTGTCAGCGTTATCAGTAAAAAAATAAAAAATACTTATATAGATTTCTAGAGCATATGATGATTATGTCACTTTCAATACTTGTCAAAGAAAGAAACAAGATAAAATTTTTAAAAAATAAAATAACAAGTAAATTAAAAGTCTAAATATCAATAAAGTATAAACAATTTAAACACGATAAATGGAGAATTTCAGTACATTATTTTGTTTTAAATTCCATTGTTTACCTTCTGTTCAGATGCAGCATGTTCAAGTTTAGACAAAACTGAAGATGTATTAGCTGATTCCTTGTGTGATTGGGCAAACAAAATATTAAGAACAGCTGATCCAGAGGAAAAGGTAATCAATTAATTTCATGTTTGGCTTCTTACTTCATATTTATAGTTAATTGTATATATATGTAAATATATTTCAGATACTCATCAATGCCTGTTCAGCATCTGGTTGATGGCAGGGAATGTGACTTTGCATTACCTGCCCCAATTCTAAGAAACTTTTAAGTATTATTGTGTTATTAAAACAGATAATTTTAAATTTTAAAGTCGCCTATATTGTCTTTCATCAAACTGTTGCTACTCTTGATAGTAATTATCTGTATATTAAATACATGAACATAATACTGTATTTAAATGCATTTTTTATAAATATTCAGGTAAGGCTGACCCATGCAGTAGAAGAGAAGTGGAATGCAGGAGAAATTGAAAGGATTGGATTATGTAGTCCGCCTGATCAACCCCACAGATTAACTGATTTGAATGTTGTTGCTCCAGGCAAGATCAAGAGAGGCAAAGCAGGCACTCTGGTAAATTACACCTGTAGAAGTAGTACTACAACAAAGATAGCATTTTATTAAAAAGACACACTTTCTTCATTAAAAATAATGTTTTAAAGTGGAATGGAGTTGAATAGCTCAGTGGTTAAGATGCTTGCCTTCCTGATCCTAGGATTCTGGGTTCAATTCCTGTGACAGACTCATAAAGAAGCTTAGTTTATAAAGCATCATTATCATCATGTAAGTGGCGAGTTTACTTGTTGCTAGATGTGAGGGAAATAAAAAAAAAAAAAAAAAAAAAAAAAAAAAAAAAAAAAATCATTTTTTTTTAATACTGTACAGGTATCAGTTTTTATGATATATTATATATTCATTAAATAACTTTAAAAAGTTATGCTGCTGATTACAGCAGTCATTATATTTTAGTTCTTTTAAATAGTGCCCTTAAGAGTAAACATGTTTCATACTTTCTCATTTACTTGCTTTTAGGCCTCCCGAATACAGATTCTGCATTCATTAGCAAATATAGAGCAGTGGGCAATTGATCTGTCCTGGGATATTATTGCACGGTTTTCATCTTTCGTCACTGAGCATGGGGCTGCATTACCTCAAGACTTCTTCAGTGATTTCATCCGAGTTGCAGGAGAAGAGGCAAAAGTAAGTATGTATGTGACACAGTAAGTATGTATGTGACACAGTTAACTTAGCATACCAACCAATACCCAACCTATTATGAACAAATTTAAACATTAACAGGAATTATATTTATCTATGTGTTTTAGCACTACAAGATGTTGTCAACAAGACTGCAAGAGCTAAGTAGTCATTTTGGTGCATTGCAAGTACATAATGGTGGGTGCCTGAAACACTACCTATTGTATAATTAAAACTACAGTAATTGAATTATGTAACAGAGTTGATTATTGTTTAATCATCAATCATTAGATGGCCATCTTCATTAAAAACATTTGGGTTTTTTAGGTTTGTGGCAATCTGCGAGTGAGACTAAGGATAGTCTGTTAGCAAGACTAGCTGTCGTGCACATGGTTCACGAAGCACGGTAAGAATGAATATGACAAATGATGACATTGCAGAAGGCCCACTGCCATTATAAATTCTACTTTGATTGACTTACTAAGCCTATTGGCCCAGAGAGAACACTATGTAGCAGACCTGATAGGCCTTGGTTGTTAAATTTAATTAAACTATTTGAAGTGCATTTGATTGACTACTACCCCCATTAGTACAGAGTGCCACTTAACACTATGTAGCAGATCTGATAGGCCTTGGTTGTTAAATTTCATGAAACTAGACTAAAGACTAAAGACTAAATTCGTAAAAAAAAAAAAAAAAAAAAAAAAAAAAAAAAAAAAAAAATAAATAAATAAATAAAAAAAATTAATATTAATAATCTAATATTAATTTTAACATTACAATAAGTAGCTCAGCCTAATTGGAGGGAGGAGAAAAAGAAAGAAATGATAAGTATATAAAAAATAAATAAATAAATTAAAAAAAAAATGCACAACTACAGGATTCTCTTTTAAATGGTTAAATTAGTTTGAATATTTCCAAATAATGGCTAATTTTTCTAATTAATATGTATTTACAACATTATATAATACAGGATGATTGTTAAATATAATATATTCTAATCATGAGATGTAATATGCCAACTAGATTTTCTAGTCAATGGCTGCCAATAACTGATATATTTTCAGTGGTTAAATTTATTATTATTATTTGAAGTGTGTTTGTGTAATATTCCTGCAGAAAGCAATTGTTTACTCCATTCCATGTTTATCATTCCAGGGGCTTGGATGTACATCCAAAGACACAGGAGAGGTTTAGACACCAAGGGGATGAGGAGAGTGTAAGGTTACTGGAGGTTATTTATAAAGATGAGATTACTTTATTTTTCCAAATCTTTGTTAATGGAATGTACTGTGGAAAAGTTGATGTATTTTGCATGTTATAGACTCTATAGGGTCCAATTTTAAGTAAATATAGTTGTTAGAAAGGCTGCCTCTTGATACATTTGAATAAAAGTCATTTAAGAAAATCAGAAAAACCATAAAAATAGAACCATATCTGTTGGTACTGTATTATAGTGTATCTATTTACATCATTAATTAGTATACTCTCACTTTATTGCAAATACATATATATATACAGTATTATATATGTTGTGAATCATTGTTGTTTTACTTTTACCTATGACCACAAAATATCTTTATTTTTTATTTTACTGCAGTGGTACATTCCTCTCATGAAACCAAAAGATGAATTGATGAAGCATACCAGAAAAACACAAGAAAAGACGGAAAATAATACAGCTACCAACACATAGGCAGTTTCTATTTCTATTCATTGATATTAAATGTAATTGCAATATTAAAAAATTATTATAATTAAAGAATTTTATCAAAATTTATTAATAAAATATCATGAACTATTTTGACAAAGTTTATGTATACTTTATTCAGTATGTTCTGTATTGTTGTTGCTGCATTCTCATCATGACCTATAGCCCCAAGCTGGTAATTCTAGTGTTTTAAAGTTTATTCTACCATAATTAATCTAACAAGTATGTACAGTATCTCGTCCTTTAAAATGCTGAAGTTGAGGGCATATATTATTCGCAGTGCATTGAGCAAAATGTATAATATATACACACACACACACGTATATAATATTTTAAGAAATGCTGATATTATATAATACAGAACGTATATAATTTGTAATTTTAATTGATTTATACAGTACTTAACAGGAAAGATTGTTTAAATATTCTCCTTATTACAGATTCTAAACCAAGCCTTTAAAATTCTTGCATTGCCAGAACTAAAGGGTTCTCCGTTTTTCACCAGCTCCCCTGATGTGCCACACTGCAGATCACGATCTTTGTACAGTATTCTTCGTACATTGGCGGATCTGAGGGGGTCAGTCTACCCCTTGGGCAAAAAAAAATAAAAAAATATCGACCTACCTTTCCAGGACCCGTGAGCTGACTTTGTTTTTGTTACAATGGGAAAGTTAGAAATCGGGAAAGCTCAATTCCCACCACCTGGGAATCAAAATTTTCCTGGGGATGACCCTTGACACCCCCACCCTTTTTTTTTTGGAATTCTTCAATTTATTGGGAAAAAAATAGGTATGCAACTACTTAATTTTTTTTTCTTAATGTATACTGGTACACACATAATAAGCCTATTTAATTTACCTGACTGTTTTCAAGAGTGGGAAACCTTTAATTTTGAAGAACTTGTAGTCATTAAAAGACACTTCAGAAGTTGGAAAAGCTCATTTCTCGCCATCTAGAAATCAAAATTTCCCAAAGAGAACCTGGAACCTGTCTCTTATACACATCTAGATGTGTATAATTTCCCGGTGAAGGACTCCCTTTCTTTTTGGGGTTTTTCCAAAACATTTGAAACCCCCCTCCCCTAAATTTTAACCCAGATCCGCCCCTGTCATGTCTTGTCAATTTTAGTAATATTTAATAATACAATTTGTTTTTTAGAAGCGATGTTCACAATCACTCTAATAATCAATCAATCTAATAATGAATACTGTATTTCTGTAGTGGTACATTCCTCTAATTAAACTAGATAGGATCCAAGGGAAACAATAATAGAGCAAACAATACATGGGTTTGTTTCTATTTATTATGACATGATCATTATTGATATTAAAATTTAATTGTAAAATGACATATTTTTTTAAGTTCTAATGCAAAAGTTTATCCAGGTACACCATTTAAATCTACTGTATAAATTTCACATACCATGTACAACATGTACATACAATTTACAAAATTAAACCGAAGTAAAATAGTACTTAAGTGACTTGTACATTTTATTTAAAATATTGATTTATTTAAGTAGTTATTCACATATATCTTTTCTCTTTTTCTTTTTTTTCTTAACTTTTTTTGAAATAATATCATTCTCGTGCAATACAATTCCATTCACTTCATCTTTACTTGATGACTGTTTAGATGGGGATAATCGCTTTTCCTTATTTCTCTTTCTTGATTTTTGTAATACATTTTCATCATTTTCACGTTCATTATTAATATCCCTATTGTGTGTTTTTTTCTTCCGTTTCCTAACAACACTTTCTTCCTCACCAACGCCTGGTAAATCTTCAGCAGGATCTGCAATGTCTTCACATTCTTCCAATATATTTGATAATATACTGCCCTCTATAGATTCACCAATGGTCATTGTATTTTTTCGTTTTCTTTTCTTTTCAATATCTTGTGATTTCTCTTTCTTTCTTTTCTTTTTTTTAGTCCACACACCATCAATAGGATCATCTATATTTTCGATTTCTTCTGATTTCTTTTCCTTTACTTTCTTTCCAATCTTCATATTATCAATAGGATCTTCTATATTACCATCATCTTCACATTTCTTTTTCTTTTTTTTCTTCTTCTTTCTTGCAACATCCTTGGCTCTAACATCAACTGGTTCATTTTTGGCATCCTTCTTTGTCTTTAATAATCTCTCTTGTTCTTGAAGTCGTTGCAGTTTGCCATTTGATTTCAATCCATGACGTGCCCCTCTATGAAATAAGAAATAGTTCAAATAATCCTCAGTTGGTTCTAAATTCAGATGTTAATGCTTACTTGCCTTTAAATGATTATGTTGTACGAGGTATGAAATTTAAAAACTACATTGTTTGATGTGTCAACATATCATTTTTAAATTGTTGATGTTGTTTTGACACATCAAAACATATTTTTTAAGAAAATAAACATTGTGAAAGCTCAGTAACTTAACTCCAATATGGCCTGAAGGAAAGCACTAAATCATATTGAACACTTGATTTCACATAAAATCTTGTGTTTCCAAGAATTTGGCATGCTATAGTTTTTATAACTTTATCCTTATTTCTCTTTTTATTAAAGCCTGGATTTATATAATGCACAAGATACTCACTTATGTGCAGTCCTGCCCCCACATGCCTTGAACAACTCGTCATCGGCTAAACCAGATGAGAAATCAATCTTTACATCTTCTTCTTCCTCAGATGAGGAAGACACGGACTGCTCACCTGCAGGTGTTAATGTTGCACTCTGGAAAAACAGTATATTCTTTCTTTTTAGAATCTGATTCACCACTTATTTAACTGCACATATATATATTTATATTAATATTATTTATTTTTATTTTAGTAAGTAGTTTGTGACAGTTGCTTCCCATATTCCATCTGTGAACACATAATAAGCAAGATATTCAAATTGTAAAAGAATTTAGATTTAAAACATTATAGTAGAGTATATAGCTTGAAAAAGGGCATAACCTCCAAAACCTGCAACAAGAAATTTTGGATGTACTGAATACAGAAAAAAGTCTTTCAAAATCCAATAATGTGAAAAAAACAACCAAAAACTTTGCACTAAATTCGTCAGTTATCTTGATACAAATTGTAATATATAGAAATACCATATATCACCAACCTACCTTCACAAACATTCCATAAAGTGTATTTTTCTTGTTGGATGACTTGACAGGTTTTTCATTAGTGATCATGTGACTACCTTCCTTCTTATTAAGTACCACAACTCCATCCTTAAAGTTAATAAAAGACAACTTTTGAAATGGAGGAAAATAACATGTTAAAAAAAATATTTGAAGTTTTAATCCCTCGCATTTATGTCATTCAATGCCTTTAGTCATTACAGATTGAGGCTTGCCATCCCAAAACCGGCGTACTGTCACTAAATGTTAAACTGAGTGATTAGCATAAGGACCTGGCAGTATTGCACACTTCACAGGGCTCGAATTAGTACATTGTCGCACAATGTCTAGTAAAAACATTATTTTCCTCACAACCAACATGGAAAAATAATTAACAAAAAGTGGCAATTTTTCTTTTAAAATAGAGGGTGTCTCTTACCTCATTGTTCGTTACTTGGATGTTACTTGCGGCTTTATTGAAGACATGATCCCACCAATGGAATGTAAACTGTTCTGCAGGATCATGTCCAACCTAAACAGAAATTATAAATATTATAAATTTAATATGTAAAAAAAACTGGAGCTAATACTTTAATAGCAACTTGTGTAATTTCATTGCCACCAGATGTTAAACAAAATGGTATTAATGTAAATATAGCCCCATTTACACTTCTGAAGAGTTGGCCTAAAACTGACTGGCCTAATTCCAAACAAACAAAATTACATTTGCTGCATTTTAATACAAAGATGGTGTTAGGGTGGACTTGAGATGTGAATGCCAACAGTATTTAACTCAAGGCTGGCCCAAAACACCTTCATGGGTACTTGGGACATAAAATTAAAACAAACAAGTACCTGTAGAATGCAAATAACGATAATGATATTAATTTTGATACTAATGAGGATGATACTGATAATGATAGTGATGAAAATGATTTTGATAATAATAAAGATAGATAGATGATGCTGATACTGATGACAATTTTGTTTGATGATAATATTTAAATAATAAAAATGTGATGATAACAGTTTAATTTTAAGGGTGCTGATAGGGTTAATGGTAATTGATGGTGATGATAATAATGATTAATTAATTTTGAGATGCTCCTACCCCAGCAGAGTCTCTCTTGATCTTGACTTTGATAGCCTCTGAGATGCCATCCTCATTTCTTCCAAGTCCACTACCTGCGTCATGTGAAAGTCCAGACAAAAAATTGACATAGCATTACATAATATCTTTCACTTTTTCCTTTTTAAGGCATATTATATTTAATAGGTGATTTATAAAAAGCAAATAAACAAGGTCTTAAGCCCCAGGTCTACAAAGTAAACAAAAAGGCAAAGGTGAAAGTACAGTAATGTAAAAGCATGGAATGAGAATTTCTGATTGGTTAATATAATCAAGTAACATTCAGGAGTAGGTTTTTAAAAAATTTTCATTACAGTAGGAATTTAGTAACCAAATTGTTTCTTTTTAACAAATACCGTAAGTGCAATCCAAGTCCCAACTGAGGGAGCATACTGATTACAGTATTCAATTCAAACAAGTCTAAAATAGTCTATTGTATTTTTTTTACTGTGCATATTGTTTCGATGACAAACAGGAGGTGCATGATTGGTGGAGTTGACTTGACCATAGCCCATACAGTAAAGTATTTTAATTGAGCGGTAAAACTAGTTCAAATATTGCGCAGAAAATTGTTAGGAAAATAGGGGCGCAGAACTACTGCATAATAGTAATACGATAAATGGTTATATTATTACGAATTTTCTAAAAATTCTACATGGAAATCGACCCTTGTTTTTAAAAAACAGTTTTCTAGGCCCAATTTTCGTGCAGAGGATATTATTCCCTGTTCATGCCTTATTTTACAGACTGTCGGACCACCATCTTCAGTCTCACTATCTTTAAATGCACTACTGTACAGCTTCTTTTATACTTCATGTGAAGTACCCATTTTTGAGCAGACATTTGTTTTTTAGAGGAATGCCAATCTAAATTTTTTTTCTATTATTCGGCCCTATTGTTACTTTATGCATCCTCTACAAAATACAAACGAAATACAATATTTCTACCTCCATTGCCACTGTGGCTTGATGACAGCCTGGCACGTGGTGAAGTTGCTAGGGAAGCTGAGTAGGCCTAGGCCTAGCCAGACTAGGCCTAGGACAGTAAAACACGCTGAACATAAGTATAGTAAGGCATCCGAACAATAGAATTTCAAATAATTATACAAAAAATATACATATACTAATATTACCTGCTTTCCAGCCATGACGCTTCATGTGTTTTTCGGCAAATTCACTCATACTTCCACGCATGTACGCTGCCATGTTTTCTCTCTGGCTCTGAACTTCAGCTCTGTATGGAGCGCAAAGAGTGCCTTCGGTGGCGACTTTTCGCAATCACAGAGCTGAGCCGTTTAATAGGTGTCCCATGAGGCAATTCAATTTGGCCCGTGAAAAAAAATATTCTAAACATACTAAAAGTTTGATGAATACATTGTCAATAATGTGAAGACAAAAATGCAACCCCTGGGTAATGTGCACGGGGTGGTTTGAAAATGAACAAGATGATATGCCATAAAGCAACGCCAAAAATCGATCACGGCTGTACTTTCCGTGGTCCTATTCATGGGCGGATTGGGGGGGGGGCGCCTGCGATCCCCCCCCACCCTTATATCACAAAAAAAAAAAAAAAAAATTTTTTTTTTAGATAATTGAATGGATACACAATTCCATAGAAAGGTTGATTCCATTGAAAGGTTGATTCATATCGCGCGCAATGCATAGCTACAAAGACAGTTTTAGCGCAGATGCGCCAGTATGGAAACCTTTGTGCAATCAATCACTCTCTATCGAGGTCAGCAAGTACGTGCTGTCAGACAACCCCATGCACAGTGACCACAGTACCCTGATATGTGTGCATATCTCCATTGACGACACCCCTTAATAGACTTACTCTTTTAATAAAGTACAGTTTTGTGTAGACAACGCTTGACATTTTTGACGTGTAAGTTTGGCTTCCTTATTGTTTTTCAAGTACAGTACCTGGTTTAATCATATTGTGTAATTTAAAAGATATACTGTATGAAATTGTATAATCCTGTTGTCTCTAATTGATATGAAACAGTGGCGTAACAAGCGGGGGGGGGGCAGGGGTCGTATACCCCCCTCCCTGACCGTTTTTACCGGGCTGAACTAGCCGTCGTATCGGGCTGGGTAATAAGAGAAAAGAAAGAGGGTAGAGGGAGGAAAATAGAAAGAAGAGGAAGAGAAAAGGAAAGGAAAAAGGAAAAGAAAAGGAGGAGAGAAAAATAAAGACAAGAATAAAAAGGAAAATACCATAATGATCAGACTCACAACACGCTGCAACCTCTTCTCCACTTACCTCCTTTGATCTAAGCTGCCAGATGGCGCAGGCTAACCACCGGGACGGAGCAAGGGGAAAATATCTATCTTTGGAAAATCTTTCCCACCCCCTTATAAATGCCCTTTTCATCCCCTGAAAGTGCCAATAATCTCAAATTTCGCGCGCTTCACGCGCATTTCTTGTCAGAGTAGGCCAATTTCCTCTAAAAATTGCACATTTTAGGGATTTTGGATCAATTCCGACAAAGTTAGAATTAAAAACACCGGGGGACAAGGGGAAAGTATCCATCTTTGGAAAATCTTTTCCCACCCCTTGATAAATGCCCTTTTCATCCTAAAATCCTTAAATTTCGCGCGCTTCGCGCGCATTTCTTGTCAGAGAAGGCCAATTTCCTCTAAAAATTGCATTATAGGATTTGAGATCAAATCGGACTAAATTAGAATTAAAAGCACAAAACCTTTTTGCGCGCTTCGCGCGCATTTACTAGGGTTGTTTTAGCGTTATCCTTTTAAGTTATTTAAACACATAATAGTCCCAAACTCAAGAAAGAAAAATTTAAGATAGATCGTTTTAACCTAAAAGAAGGGCCTCAATGTGTATTGATGGTGAAATAATATGTTTGTAATTAATAAATAAAACCATGATGACAATGCTTATATTTAGTTTCAAACACACGTGTGTGGCCTATATTATAAATAAGATAAGCCCTATGT